GTGGCAGTGGGTCAAGGGGTGGGCGGGGAGGGGGCGGGCAGGCAGGCAGGTGTGAGGCTGGAGGGCTCACTTGCTCAGCCACCACCCAGAGCCAAGGTCCTGCTGGTTCCCAGGCGAGGGCCCTGCAGCTAGCATGACACTGGGGTCAGCATTGTTTTTGAGAACAGCTGTTGGGGAGTAGATGAGCTCAGATCTACAGGTGAGAAAATTGACAGTCAGGAGCCAGGTGGCTCCCCAGGCACATAGTTATAAGCAGTGGAGCTGGACTCAAAATCAAGATACCCCTAGCTCCTTCCTGTCCAGCCCTGTTGTTGGGATGTGGCCTAATGACCTCCCAGGAGGCCAAGTTCTGGGCCATGACTGAGTCTTTTGCCTCAAAGGGCAGCAGGAGGCCCTGGGTCTGTGCCCATGCCCACCTGCCCGCAACACGAACCCGTTTCCTAGGGTGCCCACTCCCCAGGAGGTAGGTGGTGAGCGGCTTCAGGCTGTATTGCCTTCATGGCACGCTGAAGGGCAGGGCGAGACAGACAGTAAAATGGTATGAGGTACAACTCATAGAGCTTCCTCCTTGCTTGACCCACACTACCCTGGGACGAGGGGCTGTATCCCCCATTGACAACTGAGGAAACAGGCACAAACTGAGTGACGTGTCCAAAGTTGAGATTCCATCTGAGTTCTCACTGCTAGTTCTGCTCTGGACGCCACTTTGCCTCTCCAGAGCAGAGACCTGAGGCGTGTACACAGATGTAGGATGTGATAGTTGGAGCTGGGTGTCAGCTTGGCTGGACCACAATTCTGTGTGGTTTGAGCTGTTGTGATGTGGTTGTTCCCATGCTGGAATCAGATGACTATGTTCTGAGTGGCCAATCTGTTGAAAGGGAGTTTCCCTAGGGGTGTGGCCTGCTTCCAGTATATCCCAGGACATCCTGGGAGAGGAGACATTCTTCTGTGGATCGGGATTCTGTTGTGCTGCCTACAGTTGTCTGTGAGTGAACAGTCCACCATTCGGCCTGGAGATCTTGGATTCATCATTTGTTGGAGTCAGCAGCCGGTGTACTGCCTGCCAGCCTTGAGCTCCTCAGCCCCTGTGGTTGCAAGAGCCAGGCAGGACAAACCTCCAGCTTGATGTGGTAAAGCCTCCAGCTTGATGTTTGATCCAGGAACTTTGGACTTGCCAGCTTCTATAAGTGTGTGAGCCATTTTCCTAAGATAAATTTCTCTCTCTATATATATACATATATATAAGCTTTACTGATTTTTGTTTCTCTAGAGAACCCAGTCTAACACATAGGAGTACATACACAAGTGCGTGTGTGTGTGTACCATCACGTGGCACCCTGACTCCACAGGGCAGACATGTGATGTGCATACATGTGTGTATATGTGTCTATCTATGTACCAGCATGTGGCACCCTAACTCCCATGGCAGATGTGATGTGTGGGAAAAGCACAGAAGACAACAGGACAGTGTGAGGTAGCTTCCTGGGGGAGGCCGATGGTTATGTTGAGAGGAGGCTGAAGGAAGAAACTAGAAAGGTGCAGACGAGCATGTTTTTCCGGTCAAGATAGTGGGCAGGAAAAAGGTGTCCAGTTTACAGTCTGGCATCTAAGGAACTTAGAAGCCACTCCTCTCATCCTCGCAGAAAGAAAAATACTGAAAAACTAAAAGCCAACAACTCTTCAGGTCCATCAGAGAACTGAGGCCCTGTGGCGACCAGCCACCCCATAAACAGAGCCAAAGCCGCCGTAGGACCCAGGATCAGATAGGGCCACTTCCGGGAAAACAGCTGAGTGCCAGTGGACAGACTGGAGAGGGAGAACCCAGCGTTGGTGAGCTTTCTCCCAGGAGCTCCACCAGCTTCTCACTGGGGCTGAGAGAGAAGCCCCTACATTGGAGGGCGGGTGGGCATGGGACACAGATGGTCACTCACTGGTGGCGTAAGCCCCGGTACCAATTGAGAACACTGTCAAGCCCTAGGTTTGTCCTGAATTGATGGTGGGAAAGCCTGTTTCCTGATGATGGGTGTTTGTGCCCACAGCTGAGGCCCAGACCCCTCCAAGTTCTAGTCACTGGCCACTGTGACCTGTGTGGGGCGGCAAAGTCAGTAGGCTCTGCGCTCTCAGCCCCCCAGTTTTCTAGCTGAGGGCAGACTTGGGACGAGCATCGCCTCACATGTCCCATTTCCCCTCGAGAATGAGCATCCCCCCTGAAGGCCTGCTCCGGGTCTGGCCACTGTGTCGGGCGAGAGTTTCACTTCCACACCCCAGTAACAGACGCATGGCTATAAAGTTGTGAATTTATTGCATATGTAACAAAATGAACCTGCCCTGCGGCTCTGCCCGCTGCCATTCTGTGTGTTGTTTCCAGCTGGTTCCACAACTGCATTAAATAGAACTAGTATTTCTTTAAATAGTTCTGATTTTGACATAAAACAGAATTATTAGTGTACAACTTTCACAAAATAAATCAGCAATAAAAATGGTGGGAAGAGTAACAAGGATAGCAGCAATACTTAAAAACAAGACATTACAAAATAAATTAAAAATACATTATAAAGTGGTTGATAAACAAAAATAAACCAATCTTAAAAATCCATACTGTCTAGGTGGGCTGCCTGGGCTTCCCTGCAGACGCCTGCCCGACACCTCAGGTGGCAGCCCCTCCTGACACAACGTGGACCAGGGCTGCGCCCCTTCCCGACACCTTGGATGGCAGCCACACCTGATGGAACATGGACCAGGACTCTGCCCCTTCCTGACACCTTGGAGGGTGGCCACCTGCTGCTGCACGGACACAGCTGTGTGAGCTTGGCGTCTAACGGGGACTCTGCCGCAGGTCAGCTCTCTGAAACCCAGCACCCTGCTGGCCGTCACCCCAGCCGGCTCTGGGTCTGTCTCTGCACGGGCACTGTGGACGGTGGTTTGCTACATCCCTGAGTGTCGGCTGAGCCACTGGTGAGGCACCTAAAGTCAGGCCCTGAAACCTTTGAGAAAAGACGGGGTTGTCTGGAGTCACGCAGAAAGCCCATATGGACCAGAAGGCGCGGTGACCCTGTGCTGCCACGCCTCGTTCTCAGGGTGGTTCCATGCAGATACGTAAGGTTCTTGGGGTGGTTCTGGTGCCGCGGGCCACAGCCTGTGTGCAAAGACGACAGGCTCACGAGCCCAGGTCCCCGTGACACACAGGGGACACTGGCCTGGGGTGGGCAGGCCGCAAACCCCACATGACAACGTTGGGCAGGCAGAAAAGCAGGGAAGGCGTTTTCCTGGGACAGATGCGTGGGGTCTCAAGCTGGCTGGGAGGACACAGGACAGGCCTTCTGTGCCCTGGCGCACGGGACAGCGGCCTCCCGCATGGGGCGGTTACCCTTTTAAGGACCTCGTCCCCTGACCCCCGTCTGACAGCAAGAAGGTAGTTTGAGCGGTGGTGAAGGAAACACTCCTACTGAAAAGCTTGTTACACCATTAGACCCTGGTTTCCTCGTGAGCAAGGCCGAGCTCCAAGCCCCATCAGGAGCCGGCCGCCTGCCCTCCAAGCCCTCTGGGACCCCTGGAGAGAGAAGATGAGGCGTCACGGCTGGGAGCCACTCTTGAGCGTTCACCAGGGCAGCATGGTCCTGCGAGACAGCCTGCACCTGCGCTTTCGGGATGGGCTGGGCTTTTTGTTGCAGCAAATCTCTTGCCATCCCTCCCATCCTGACCTCCTGCAGGGTTTCAGCTCACCTGAGCCCTGTGACCCACAGGCTCCAAACCCCTGATTGAGAGCCAGGGGCTGCTGCCAGCAAGGTCCAAGTGTGTCCGGGGCATGTAGAACCACAGGAGGACAGACGTTCTTCCCCACTGGCCGCAGTGTGAAGATGTCAGCAACAGAAAGGACAGATGGACAGCCACCCCAAAGCTACTTCCTCGTCCGTGTCAGAGTCGTGCTGAGTTCCAGTACACAACCCAGCAGTCGAGGGTCACACCCACAAGTCCCCTCTACAAACAAAACAGCAAAGCCCATACGTAGCACGTAGGACCCACACGCAACACACGGGAGAGGCATTGCCCCCTTGGCCACGCTCAGCGCTCTCACGCCCACGCTGCATGGCTGGAAAAGGGTGAGGAACTCGGGCCCTCCTCCTACGAAGACCCCTGGGCAGGCGAGCTGACGGCCACCAGTGTTGCCATCGGAGGCTGGAGGAAGGTACGCTGAGGTCATCAAGGACACTGGTGCCTGCCCCTCCCAGGCTCAGCCATCACCCAGCCGGCAGCTGGGCCACAAGTTCGTCCTGGGAGCTTGCAGCACTCCCCTCGATGGTTTCATGTCTCAACGTGGTTGCTGTGCTTCCTCCACAGTGTGACAGTGGCGCAGACGTGGCTTTGGGACAGCTGGTTGGGGCTAAGGCTGGTTTGGTCTGCTCTTTGACAAGCTCCATTGAGTCATGTTTTCATTGGAAAAATATCTCACTGGATAACGTGGCAAAAGGGACTCTTTAAAGGAAACACCATTTTTCTCTGTGCAAAACACATTTTCCAGACAGGACACCCTGCAAAGGAATAGCCACGCCACCAGCGGAAGCTGCCTGACAACCTTGAGTTGCCACAGGAGAGGCCACGCTTGACTTCTGCTTCCTGCTGGGGCAGAGCCCAGCAAGCCTGTGTGTGAAATCGGGGTTCCAGCTCAGGTATGATCCAGCTGCTGATCTCAAGGGGGCCTCCAGGCTGTGGGGACAGTCCCAGCACGTGTCACACCAGAGCAGAATTCCTGTGTGACCAGAGCCGAATGCTGACCCTGGCTGCCTTTTACTGGATGGGTGATGGTGGGGTATTGTCATAAAGAAGGAATATGGGGGGAGCCACCAGCCAAGTCCCCTCACCCACCCCCAACCAAAGGAGGCGGACAACCCCTTGCCCTCGGGTCATCGGGTCTCCCGGGCCCAGTGGCACGGGAGGCATCCGGAAAGCAGTGTGCTTGTGGGCTGGTGGTCCGAGCCACGCCTCAGCTTCCCGGCTGTTCTTCACTCCACAGCAAACCCACAGGTCTCCTCCACGGCCGTCAGCAGCTTCTCATACAGCTTCTCGTAGGACTCATACGGGGGGATATCGATCCGGTTGAAGCTGAGAGCAGAGCAGAGAGTGAGGGCCTCACCACGGGGGTGACTGAGGGCAGGTGCAGCCGGCCTGTGGGCACCCCGCGTGCATGCCGAGGTGGGAACAAGGGGCGATGCCCTGGAGAGGCTCTGAGCCCGTAACCAGCAGCAGACCTAAGCTGGGCCCCCGAGGACCGAGGACGGCCACTGCCTGCTGCGGGTGAAAGATGGCTGGCAGTCTTTCCTGGAGCCTTAACGTCAGGCGTGTTTCACCCCCTGGACAAGGAGCTGCTGTCGCATAGATGTGGAGAACGCAGTAACCAGAGAGTGGCCAGTTCCCTTCAGGAATCTGCCCCTTGGATCACACTGCGTCTTGGCAGGGTGCCCAGCTTCAGGTCAGCGTGAGGAAGTGACCTGGGGTTTAAGCCACTGCACCTACTGAGTCTAAGTTAAAACTTGTGGGAAAACCCTTTTCAGTAGGCAAGGGGCCCAGCCATGTCAGGAGAGGGGAGACCTACCACCAGGTTAAGTACTTCCTTGGGCCCCTATTTCCTCTCTGGCCCCTCCTGCACCTCCATAGTCAGGGCTGTGGCTGCAGAGCCTGCATTAATCCCGTGGCTCATGAAGGAGACTGGCATGTCACCTGTGACGCTATAGAAACACAGGAACTGCAGGGAGCTCTGGGGGCGTAGTGCCTAAGGCATCTGACTGCTAACCAGAAGGCTGACGAGTTCAAACCCACCAGCCACTCTTCAGAAGGAGGACTGGCAATCTACTTCTGTAGAGACACCACCCCAGAAACCCAAGGAGGGGTCACTGTGAGGTGGAAACAACTCAACGGCAGTGAGTTTTTTGGTTTTGCATGTGCACAAGAGACATGCGCAGCAGCCCGCCCCCGGCAGGTGCTCTCACCAGGTGTGGGCCTTCGGCAGGTTGTCCGTGTTCGCGTCTATCAGGTGGATGGTGAAGAGCCGGGGCCCTGCTGCGCCTGTAGAACCTTGCAGGACAACATTCTAGTTAATGTACTTCAGGGACCACAGCCCCCCCCACCACACAGCTCCCACAGGCCAGCACTCCCTGCCACACCTCTGCCCAGTCTCAGAATGTGCCTGCAGTGGCACCAAGTGACCAGAAAGGACAGGGACAAAGACTGCTGGCAACGCCCCTGGTCCCCCTGACCAGGAGCCAGGGGGCCTGAAGGGTAAAGCAGGAAGAGTTAACAAGCTGGGCCACGGGCAGCAGAGGGGAAGCAGGACAGAGTCCCAGACCCTCTGCAGGCAAAGGGGTAAGACAACTGCCCTGGACCCAAGCCTAAGGAGCGGAGCTGGCCACTGAGCACCCAAGGTAGGAGATCAGCATGCTCAAGTCCCGCGAGGGGGCCGTTACCCTGCCCAGCCCCAGCACACTGATGTCCTCCACTCCTCCCGGTGACAGCCATCAGAGGCCCTGGCCGGGGTGGGGGCGCCAGGGTCTCATCCTCACCCTCCCGTACATGAAAACAGCCTGCACCTCCCACTTCTCCAGACCCGGGTGAGCTGGGTGCCCCCCGGGGTGGTGCGTGCTGTCAGGCACCCTCGTGTGCAGCCTAGACAGACGCTCCGATCCATCCACTTAGGGAGGACAGTGACTTTTTTTTAACAAACAGAAGTGTTGAGCAAGTAGGCCTCCTGCTGGAAAGGGTATAACGAGAAAAGCATGACCCAGGTCCCAGAATTCTGGATTCTTGGAACAGTGGCATTCTGACAGCAGGACCTGGGGTGGGGTGGTCCCCATGGCCTCAGTTCCTTGAAACTGGGCCAGGAACCCCCTCCCCCCCCCGCTACCAGGCTGTGGTAGGGACGAGAAAGAGCAAGGCTCCCAGTTTACTCAACCCCAGGGCTGCCAGCACTGTCACGCTGCTCAGACAGGAAGCCCCGCATGGAGCCCTGTGTGCAGAATGCCAGGGCACTCCACGTGCGAAGCCCCCTCCCCCAGCGAGGCTCCAGCTAGTGCGCAGGAGACCCTGTCCTTGCATCAGTTATGTCTGTCAGAAGCGAAACGCTACTCTGTCCACACCCTTCCAGTTCCTAGCAGCATCTCCTCTGAACAAGATGGGCCCTTTCCATACAGCAGCTCTGGAGCCGTCCTGGGGGAACTCCGTCCTACACCAGTGACATCACTGGCTTCGGAGCATCACCGAAGGAAGAACGTGGCACCGTAACCAAGTATGGGTCCTCCCGAGAACAGCAGTTACAAACCAGGTACAGAGGGAGCGGGCCCTCGGCCTGCTGGGGCCCCGAGGAGAGGCAGGTGAAAGGACGCTTCCAGCCACCACCCTTGGGCCCCGCCGCCCCCTCAGTCACCTTGCAGCGCCTTGAAGCCCTGGAGAGGCACCCGTGTTGACCCCGTCACGAACTGCAGGAGCCGGGCCCTCCTGTCCTCGTCGAAGGCCTCCACGGCACGCCAGAACCAGCGGACAACGTTGCTGTCAGCCGCACAGTGCTTCAGACGCGTGTTGGACTTCCAGTCGTTCAGGTCTATCTTGTCCAGGCCACCGATGATCAGCTGCAAGGCGTTTAAAGGAGATCATTTCCTGTAGGTAGTTAGTATCAGCTAACACTACGCTATGCCTGGAGGGGTCCCAGCCAACTGGAGCTCTGCTCTGTAAGAACTTGGCAGAGATGTAAGAAGGCAGCATAGCAGTGGGGCTTTCGGCCACCCCTGGCCGGCCCACAGCTGTCACATCTCATGACAAAATCTGGGCTCTGTATTTGCCTCACGCTGGGAAGGACTCAGGTGATAGCCACTGTGCCTCAAGCACAGGCAGAGATGGACGGGCAGCGGGGCTGCTCTTGGCAGCAGGGTCGGGAAGTACACCACTCCCGCTCCACCCAGGGGCTGGGGCCTCCCTGGTGCAGAGAGATGCGGAAAGCACAGGGGAGCTCTCTGGCCTCCGGCATTGTCCAGAGACGGACTGGGGACAGCTGAGTCACAATCGCCAAGAACAAGAGTGTGATGCGAAAGGACGCCGGCAGAGTTTCCATTCTGACCACGTGGAGTGACCAGGAGAACTGACACAGGAGGGTCACCCCCAAGACTCCACTGCTGTCCAAGCGGACACCTGCCTTCGCCCCGCCCCCACTCACCTCTAGCTCTTTCTGGTCAAAAGGCTTCAGTAGGTGTTGAGGGATGAGCTCATTGAACCCCTTCTGCAGAGCCAGGAACTGGGCTTCGATTCCTCTCATGAACCTCCAGTTCACATACAACCTGGGAGAAAAGCCACAAGTTGAAAGGACTACCAAGTAGTTCAGGCCAAAAATGATATTCCCCACTTGAGGTGCTGACATCACCCACCGGCAGTACCAGCCTCACAGTAAGTTCACCAGCACGTGCTGCTGTACATTCTGACTTTTATAAAAGGGACAGCAACGGGTAACTTGTCCAAGTGCATTCAAGGTGAAGCACGGGACGTAGGGGAAGGCTGCCAGCTCGACCCACGTCTCTTGACAGAAGTGACTCGTTATCACTCGTCCTGATTTGCCTTAGAAGAGAGTGCCTCGAGGCTGACGGCCAGGAAGACTCCCTCCCCATCGGCACCGGGCAATATGAGTGTGTCCCCTGACGGGGCCCGGGGGTTATTATACTCCCCTTCAACAGGTCCCCGTGGTCACCTCAGGGCTCCTGCAGCCAGAGCCCCTGCTGGGAATGGGCAAGCCTCACCCAAGAATTGTGTTTGCTCAACAAGTCTGCAAGGCCTTGAGCACAGGGCCCCAGGATCTAAATATAAACTCTGCTGTGCACGGGCGGCCACCCAGATCCCGTTGATAGTACCGGACATATTCTTTCTTGTTCTCTTCTGTGACGGGGACGTTCCTGCCGTTGGGTTTCAGCTCATGCTGAAGGATCCGCCCAAAGGCGCTGTGTTCCACGCAGAAGGTGTGGTCCAGCACGGGGGTGATGTCATTCTCCCTGTCAGGACCAGGTGAGGTTGTTAGAGCTCTGGCACCACGCAGCGAGACAAGAGCAAGGCCCGGAGCAGCCAGGAGAGTGAGCATGGTTCCTGACTGCCCCGTGCAGGGCTGCCAGGGCTGGGCAGGCAAGAGCCGGGCACCACCTTGTTCTTGTTCTAGGAGGCTGCTGGGACTGAGCGGAGCAGAAAGGAGGGATCTGTGTCAGGAACCAGCCGGGGAAAAGCCACCAGGAAGACAGGTTGCATTTAGTGTTATTTCCCCATCAGAAGGCAGCCCCAAGCAGCTCCGTCCTTCCTGTGAGGCCAGCGTGTTCACGAGGACCAGCAGCCCCTGCTGCCCCGGGCTGTTGCTGTGCATGTGACGCTGAGGGGCGTGGAGGGAAATGCTACGGCAGACGTGGTGGAGTGCTCGTTCTGTCTTGTTACTCTGACTCCTCTACAGGCTAACAGGAGCAGCTGTTGTCCTACCTCACTTGTGCAAGAGAGACGGGCCCAGTAGGTCAGTTAAGTATTGTTTGTTGTCGTACACTGGTTTCTTTACTTCTCTTCTGCAGTTACACACCCAGCCCTACAACATCCACCTGTGTGTGCACCACCCCTCCCCCCGTCAAAAGATGCTGCGTGCACTTGGGCGGATAACTGTGCATTTTCAGCGAGTGGGAGGCAGAGTCAGGACTTACAGAATCCACACCAAGCTCTTATGCAGCTCGGGGTCCACTGACTCCAGGTCCGAGAGCTGGATGGGCTTCCCCAGCAGCTGCTTGTAGAAGGGCACTGTGAAACCCCCGTTGATGTAGTGGCCATGGAACACCGCCAGGCCTATGATCCGGCCCACAAAGTGGAAGTAAGACAGGTGGTCCTGTAGGGGGCACCAGAGAACGTGAGTAATAGAGACGGTCTGCGGGCGGGCGTCCAGATGCTGTTCTCATGTTCAAGTGGAAAAAAGGCCACTTCCATCGTCAGAACATGCACGGTTTTCATCTCAACACCTTCTCCTGAGAGTCGCTGTGTAACGGAGGCAGGGCCTTGTTCAGGATCACTCAGCCGCTCAGCCTGGAGCCAGCTAGCCCACTACCCTCAGACAAAGGGCAAGGCCCAGTGCTCGCCCTCACTCCTCCCCCCCAGAGCGGTAGGGAACCAATCTCACACTCCTGCTCATCAGTCTCTCAGAATTTGTCAAAACGGAAGTTTCCACGTTGCTGAACGGTTCTTTTGTGGTGGAATGCTCAAGAGCGTCTCTTGGCTGCCACTGAGCAAACACAGTAACTGTCCCCAACTTCCCTCGAAGGCAGCATGGTGGTCTGAGGACCCACAGCTCCCGCCCACTTGTTCTCACTGCAGACAACACACCCGTGGTCCCAGTCACTAAAAACATGCAGGACTGACGTTGGGCATCTTCAGCCCAGCCTCACCCTCACATTCATTTCACACACCACAGATTTCGCACACGTCGACACTGACGGAGCCAAAAACTGAGACTGAAAATCCCTTTGAAGAACATTCCCGACTACAGCCCCACCCCTGTGGGCTGTGTACTTACGGGGTTGATGGAGGAGTCCGCGTTGATCTGCAGCATATAAATGTTGTCAGTGGAATACTGGAAGAGGCCGTAGTACGGGTTCAGCATCTCATGGCACAGTAAGTAAAGCCACTCCCTAGGAACAAGCACAGTGTCTGGCTCTAAACTGTCATCGCTTCATGCCCTGAAGGGGCCAGCGTGGGAGGATCCCGACTCTGTGCGTACAGTTGGCACACAGGCCGCGGGCGGTGGGCGCTCACTTCCGGCAGCATCCAGAACGGCTGTTCTTGCCTCAGATAGGTAACAGCCGCCAATTTTAGCAGCCAAAACTCACACTATTTAGAAGAATACTCAGTAGTGACTCAAACACCCAGTAATGATCAGTCATCACAAAATGACCCGGACCCCAGCAAGCAAGCCTAGGTGCAGAGAGAACCGGTGGCCAAGAAAGCGCGTCGGCTGAGCGACAGTGCTGGTAGCAGGCCCCTCCTGAGCGTTCCTGCCCCTCAGCTAAGGTGTACGTCAGTACTTGACAGAGAGCAAAATCACAAGTGATGACGAAGGTGCGATTAACAGATTCAAAAGCAGTATGAACCGGCTTTAAAAGTGTGTGTGTGTGCACGGGTGTGTACATACACCAAAAACCACAACAAAAAGATGGGTCAATTTACACTGCAATGTTAACGGTAGTCAACTTGGGAATTAGAATTCTGGGTCCTTTTCTATTTCCTACAGTAAATGTAGTGTTCAAATTCCAAGTCAGGAGATGATGCGTCATAGCCCGGGGGGCAGGGGAGCCTCAGAGTGCGTCTGGCCTGGATTTTATCTCCTATTAAATAATTTTTTTTTTTTTTAAACCACAAACACCACTTTTATAATTAAGAAACTAGTTAAAAGTGTTAATTCTAAGAGTTTAAAAATCTGGGTGAGGCACAAAGGCATGCATTAATTTTCTTAATTCCTTTATATTTGAATCATTTCCTTTTAAAAACTTTCGTTTAAAAAAAAAAAAAAAATCAAACAAACAAAAAAGCCACTCTGAAGAGAAAGGTGACCAGGAACTGCTCTGGGAGGATGGGAGAAGCCCAGGCCCAGGGGATTTTACACGAAGACGGCCTTCTCAGAGGCATCTCACCACGAAGGCCCATGAAGGCGGCCTTCTCAGAGGCAGCCCCCCATTTTATTCTGAAATTTCTTCCTCTTTCAAACAGAATGTCATGGGATTGACACGGAATATGGGAAGGAAACACAAATAGAAACATTTGTCGGGGAAACTGTGAGAATATGCAGAAAACGATCTGACCAGACCACCCCAGCACCCCCCTCGACAGGACAGATAAGCTGAGAGAAGAGACGAGGTTCCACCTCCCACAAAGCCTGCACGGCAGAAGGCAGACCCCACGACCACCGCACCCCGATTCCCACATGCTGGGGAGTTCGAATTTGCAAGAGATCATTTTCAAAAGGGCCAAGGACTTCAATAGTCTAGATGGGAAGTGATTAAAATACAAGCAAAGACTAACAGTGCCACAGACAGGTAAGGAGGCTTCTTAAGTAGGTTCTGGAAGGAGTAGGGAAAAGCTAGTAACTAAGCATAAGAGGAGCTCTGGTAGCCTAGTGGCTAAAGCACTTGACTGCTAACCAGAGGGCTGGCGGTTCAAACCCACCAGCCACTCCTCGGAAGGAAGGCTGGGCAATCCTACTTCCGTAGTGATACTGCCTCGGAAACCCAAGGAGGGGTCGCTGAGTCGGGGCCGACTCGACGGCACATAACAACAACAACAACAAGCATAAGAGGGAAGGAATGACAGGGCCAAACACAGAAAACCAGCAGACTAGTTCTCCTGACTGGATCATTAATACACACCTACAGGGACCCATACACGTGGCTTCTGTCTCCACAATTCTCCGAGGCAGGTGCAACACCAACCACGATGAGGGCAGAAGGGGTAGAGTAAGGTGCAGAGTCCTTCTCGTCACAGCATCATGCTCCTTGAAAGCGATACACAAAGCTCTATCTCCACATGAAGATGCTATGGGACACGCAGAGGGACTTAACTCCTATGAGACCAGGCCCTGCTATTCATCTGCACATGCCTACCCAGGGACCTACAGTGCCCACCACACAGAAGAACACCATGAATGGGCACAGTCAGATACTGAACTTGACAAGTCTTGAGACTACACAAGAAAAGTGCAGAGAATGGAAACAGTTCAACTTAAATTGTTACCTCCTGTCAGGAAATGGAATGAATGGGTGTGCATCAAGGACAAACACAGTGACACCTTGCCAAAACAAAGACAGTTTCTAGAATCAAGAGCAAAGAAGAAATTTGGGGTCAACCCGACAAGAGTAGCCTCCATTTCCTGTGGAGAGGCAGTACGAGGGTGGGCTCACGGCAAATGGTGGCTCTGCACACCCCCTTATCCCAGCCACGCTCAAGAGAGCTGAGAGCCAGGAGGGGAGACAGAGAGACAGGGACTCTGTCCCAGGGCCAAAGGGCACACCCTCAAATTCCTTCCTTGTAATTCTGGCCTTTGGCTGCTGATGAGATCAGAACAAGGGTTTGTCTGTGATGCCACTGTAGGGCTGCGGATCTCTGAGTCTCCAATCCTGACTTCTCTAGAGGGGGCCGCTATTCACGACCCCAAGGGATCACAGCCCTGCCTGTGGGGCACCTCTCAGAGTTAGCGTTTTCTGTTTATAGAGTAACTCTGATTATCATCTGAACCTCACCAGACGGGGTGAAGGGGGGCACAGAGCATGGCATCTTGCTCACTACTGCACTCCTAATACTTCGTCCGTGGGAAGGTTTCACTATTTAATGATTGATGAATAAATACAATTCTGACCAGGGCACACAAAATTATAGGGGGTGCTCTTCTTTAAGATAATTCAATCCTATTCCAGAAACTTTAGTTTAACTCTTTGATTTTACATTGTGTTACAATGGAATTCAAGGAATGTGACAGTGATTTTCAAAAATGAACAAATGTAAAGGAAAAGATGGCCAATCTCCTACAGGAGGAGAGGACACCAAGAAGTGGGAAATCAGAGAAAAATAAGACCCTTTACCTTAAGTTACAAAGGCAAACGAGAACAGGGTCAAAAACAGCAATGCTCTTCCATGAGAGCTGACAGCGCCCCTGTCTGCACCTCGGACCATAAGCTAAGGAATCAGCAGGTGATGTCTACACGCAATCAGTGAGTGAGAACAGGAACACCGACCAGAAAAAAACGCTCAGAGTAAAAAGGTGGTCTTGAGAGTGCGCAGATGATCTTGGGTTGTCAAAAGTTCCTTTGAGGAAGACACAGAGAGGCACACAAGAGGTCCAGACGGCAGAGGTAACCCTTTTTACATACACAATACTGTGTCATCAGTGACAACAAACATTAATCTATGGGTAAACAGATGGGTAGACAAGCTGAATGATCAGACATGTCTAGGCAAAAGGGAAAATACCCATGACCATGTCTAAGGCTAGCAGATGATACCTCTACATATATGCTTCATATGTGTTGTAAGAATGTCCATATATGTAACAGAGCTAATAAGGGGCTAAGTTATGGTAACTTCTTAGCCACAGCCAACCACCCTGAGGGAGCAAGCAGTTGGCCCTGTGAGCTCAGGACCATGGTCTCAGGGGACATCAAGCTGAACTGGTGTAACACACTACACAAAACATTGTTCTACATTCTACTCCGGTGAATAGCAACTGGGCTCTTAAAAGCTTATAGGTGGCCATCTAGATGCAACAACAGATCTCTCTCTCCTTGTCCAGAGCAATGAAGAATGAAGAAAACCAAAGATGTATCAAAACAATTAGTCCAAGGGACTAGTGGACCATGCAAACCTTAGCCTCTATGACCATGAGACCAGAACTAGATGGTGGGCAGCTACCACTGTCAACCACTCAGAAAGGGATCAGTGCAGGTGAGACCCCCGAGACTACAGCCCCTAGTTACCCTTCAGGTCTGGAACTGCTCATTCCTGTGGCTTCCAGCCAAGTAATAGGCATATGGGGTGAACATTGACATTAGGCAGATACACTCCTTAGAAGGATCGCTCATAGGGGAACAGAAGGACAGTATTTACACAGGGAAATAGCTTGGGGTGGGGGGCAGGAATGTACAGGGAAGAGGTAACTGTAGGGAGGAAGTGGGAAGAGAGCTGTTACATTGTGGAGAGTTGCAGTCAATGTCCTGAGACAAAGTGTGTATGAACTGCCATATGGAAAACTAATGTGCTCTGTAAACTTCTACCCAATCACAACTGTTTACAAAAATAAAAAAAAACTTCCCTTGACACAACTGTAATTTATGCATCCCTGTCCCCCAAGTCCTCTAAGGAAAGCCAGGCCCCTGTGAGGGTCAGTAGCAGGCCATCCCGTGGTCCAGGTTTAGACATGGTCAAGGAAGAAGGTAGTGAGTGTTAAGGTTTCATTCTGGCTTTTCATGAAGTGAATTAATGGTGACAACCTTGTACGTGCTGACAGGTTACAGCAAGCAGCTCGTATGTGCACACTCTGAGGAAGATCCCAGAGGTGACCCTGAAGTTCCCCCAACTCCGGGCCAGCACAGGAGCACTGCACAGCTGTCCTCAGTGACACAGCACTCTATAAGGAAGGGGGACCTTAGGCCTCTGCTGGAACAATACTTTCCCACAGTTTTGCTGAAATCCACACAACAGAACGAACAAATCAGCACCTCACCTGGCCACGCCACCATAATCTAAACCTTCTTCTCCACGGAATTTCACCATGAGTCGTTTCTTCAAGTCTTTGGGCCTCATCTTCATTATCTGGCGATAAGACTCCTATATGTAAAAATTACAGTTTCAGAGAAAAGAATTTTTCATATTCTCAAAACTGTAAAAGGATGAAGGGTTGTGGATAATGAAGCATGGTTCATCTGAGTCTGATTTGTATCTGGCTCCTGTTCGGAGTGGCGACACTGCCGTCTTCTTCCCTTGGGCTCCTCTCTCAGAAACGTAAGGCGACAGGCACAGGGCGGGGACACGGCACAGGGAAAAGCCTGTCTGACGACAGCACAATCACCAGTGCTTGAAGGTTTTCTCTACGTTAACTTCAGTCAGACTTACAACATTCACATGTAACCAAAATGAAAAAAAAAAAAAAAAGTATTTGCAAATACCAAAAAGCAGTATCATGATAAACGGAGACAAGACTGAAGTTGTCAAAGATTTCACATTGCTTGGTTCCACAATCAACACCCATGGAAGCAGCAGTCAAGCCATCACATGATGATTTGCACTGGGCAAATCTGCTGCCAAAGACCTCTGGAAAGTGCCGAAGAGCTAAGATGTCTCCTTGAAGACTAAGGTGTGCCCGACCCAAGCCCTGGTGTTTTCCATCCCCTCCTATGCAAGTGAAAGCTGGACAGTGAATAAGGACCAAAGAAGAGTACTGAAAGTACCATGGACTGCCAGAAGAATGAACAAATCTGTCCTGGAAGAAGCACACTGGAATGCTCTTTAGAAGCGAGAATGGCCAGATTTCGTCTCTCCTACATTGGTCTTTTTGTCAGAAGGGACCATTCCCTGGAGAAGGATATCATGTTTGATAAAGTGGAGGGTCAATGAAAAAGGGGAAGGCCCTCAACAAGATGGACTGACACAGTGACTGCAGTGATGGGCTCAGGTCTAGCAGGGATCATGAGGCTGGCACAGGACCGGGCAGTGTTTCATTCTGTGGCACACAGAGTCGCTGTGGGTCAGAGCTGACTCAACGGCACCTAACAACAACCACCAAAATGAGGACGTCATCAGCATGTCAAGTACAAAAACAATTCTGAGCCTGTTATGTCAGACGTGAAAATTCACACAAGATTCTCACTAGGTAGAAAAGCAAAAAAGGGCTTAAGTGAAACAAAGTAGCCTGAACCTGGCCTAAAGCATAGAAAACACAGGGCCAGCCTACCATCCTGAGCAGCACTTTGAGGACCTCCCTGCACGACTGCTGACCAGAAGGCTGGCGGTTCAAACCCACCAGCCACTCCTCGGAAGGAAGGTTGGGCAATCTACTTCCTTAGGGATACTGCCTCGGAAACCCAAGGAGGTTTCGCTATGAGTCGGGCCGACTCGACGGCAGTGAGTTTGGTTTGGTTTTCTTGTCTGCAGATGGCGTCAGTGACAGCCACCGAAGAATCTCCTCACACTAAGTTTAACGTAACTCAAGTCCTGTCATCCCCAGAGGCAAAGGGGGTGTGGAGTAGAAACCATCAAGCAGGACAATATCAGTTAACTGTCTTCTTCCCCTATTCCTGGTCACCATTAAAGACAGCTCAGAGGCCAAGTGAGCACCATGGCAGATGCCCTCACCCAGCACGCTGGCTGCACACGGGTGCCTTTCCTGGGCGCCCATCACAGGGAGAAGGTCCCCCATTCCTGACTGGGACGGCTCTCGCCCTCTAGGGCCTCCCTCCACTGGTGGAGTGTAGTAAGAACCTATGTTCCTGCCTTACGTGGTCTCATTTCCTGATTTCTGCTGATGTCTCCACAAAGGCAGCAGGATAGGACCCAAACACAGGATTTTACCTAGGATCACCTTTTCTGAGAAAAGGGCCATGTGTAGAGAGAGAAGTGCCTGCTGAAGGGATAACACCTTCCCAGTGGCCACCTGCTCTCCCCATTTCCAATGAGACACCGGGTGGCCACTGAGCTGCTCTGAGAAGGGTCACCAGCTATTCTCTGTGCAGGGCGAGGGCACAGGGGACAACGGCTCCTGAGAAAGCGTGCAGACTGGGGGGGACGCACAGCACCGGTCAGCCGGTCCCTGCATGGCACAAACGGTTAATGCTTGGTTACTGGTGGTTCCGACCCATCCAGCGGTGGAAGGAAAGCCTGGTGACCGACTTCCGTAAACACGAAGCCAGACAAACCCACGGAGCAAGTCTTCTCTGTAGCATGAGGGGCTGCCATGAGTCAGAACAACTCGATGGCAGTGAGGAACAGTTTCTGCCCAAATCTGCAGTCTTCATCCCCAAAACAAAACAAAACCAAACTCAGTACCCACTGAGTTGAATCTGCAAGGGACCTAATGTTTGAACTTTGCCCGCAGGAGCGATGCAGCTCCCTGTCCACAAGCCTGACGCTCCTGCATCTGGCGTAGTAATAAACCTAACACCTGACAGAGCAAACAGGAAGAGCCCCGAGAAGCAAATGTGGCTCACAGAGCAGTGGCTCAGCTGCCACTTTAAAACACAGGTGTTGCCCCGGGAGGGGTCCTTAGGCTGCGCTACGGTTTGTGCGAACCTTACTGGGAGCTGCACCCCGTCCCATACCTCAAAGACCTCTTCTCGAGACACCTCAAGGCGGCAGTGGCCAGCCTGGGGTTGCTGCAGGGAGAGCTCGTGTCTGAGGACTTTGAGTTTCTGGACGAGATCCCGCTCGTATCTCTGCGCAGGCAGCTCCTCGTCCTCCAAGGAGCCCTCGCTGGGCAGCGGCAGCGGCTGGCTTGGCTCCTTCAGCTGGCACTGGTGACTGCAGAGACAAGCACTGCGGTGAGGCCATGAGCACGGCTGGGGGAGCGGTGAGCACTGCCGCTAGGGCCGAAGGCGCTACACGAGAGTTTACTGTTCGGAACTCCAGGGGGAGTTCTTTCCTCTGAATGCAGAACTGTGTGCAGAGCGTGGAAAAATGGCTGACAGCCACCATTAGCCAAATACAGGGTAAACGCAATGCAACACACTGCTGTTGAGTTGGATGCGACTCACAGCAACCCCTCCTTGGGTTTCCGAGGCAGTATCACAACAGAAGTAGGATACGATAAAGGAGATACTCCAATTGTAAGCTCATACGCTACTACTGCTATAAACTAAAACAGACACTACAGCTATGGAGCTCTGATGGCAGTGTTTAAGGCACTCAGCTGCTAACCAATAGGTCAGCAGTTCGAACCCACCAGCCACTTGGTGGGAGAAACATGTGGCAGTCTGCTTCTGGAAAGACTGACAGCCTTGGAAACTCTCTGGGTCAGTTCTACTCTGTCCCCTAGGGGTGCTGTGAGTCAGAATGGACTCACCGGCAGTGGTGGTTTACTTTCGTTGTCACGCATCTGTTATGCACTATGAGCCTGACCAACACACTAGGAGACGTGTGTGGCATTTGGAAGGGTGTGAGCTGATGTGAAACGTTTAATGAAGCACTTAATTTAAAGGAGCTATAGATGGGGGAGCGTACCGAAGAGCAGAGGATGCGAGTGAGGCCTCACGGTGGCCCTTCTTCATGTTATAGCCAAGATGGTATTAAGCCTGCTTGTTAAAAGCTGACCCCAGAAGATAAAGGCCTAGGGCTGCTGGGGCAACACATGGCATCTGTCTTGTTCACTTCTGCTGCTCCCCTCAGCTGTTGACCGGAACCCTGAACAGGGGACCCAAGCTCCTTTCCAACTCCAAGTGATCCAGGAATGCGGGTACAGGAGGCCCCGTGACTGGCCAGCACCTCGGAAGTGCTGACTGGGCCCAAGTGCAGTGCCCCTCCACTGCTCTCCCTGCAAGCACGCTCAGAGCTGGGTGTCTCACTAGATGCCACGTGCAGAGTCTCCGCTGTGAAGCTGCCACAACTGGCAACACCGTGGATCATCGAGGTAACAAATCAGAAAAGGGTGGTGGCAGTGTGCGGCTGCAGTGGGGTTTGCAGGTAATTTAAGAGTCTGTCCTGTCCTGCCTGAGGTTATTCCCCACTAACAGACAATGCAGTAGACAAATGAAGCAGTGTTAGTCCCAAGCATTCACTTGCAAACCTAAGAGACCCCCATAGTTTTTTAACATCTTACTTCATGATGTGGTGTAGCCTTGGGTCTGTAAACTGGGTTGTCCGGTTATTGTGATCTACAAAATATATCCTCCCAGAAACCGTGCTTCTCACTTCCCAGCCGGGCGGCAGAGGGCCGAGTTCGTCACAGTTCACGCTGTTAAGGTCTCTGCCAAAACGGAAGACCGAGAGGTTAGTCTGTCTGAGCCTGGAGGGAACGACCAGTGCTTCAGCGTGAGTGGCCACAGATTCCTTATCAAGGCGTCTATGGTCCAGGTCCGCTAAGACCATGTCCTTATGCCAGACCCTCCCTGGCTCCATGCCACTGTGCAGCCGGCAACAGATGACTATGACAGGTACACATGGGACTTTCCGTGCTTCCAAACATGAGAGGGAACGTGGTCTGCCCAGGGTCATCTCTTACAGTAAAGAGGGCAAAACCAGAGTCTCTGAATGCTGTTGAGAAGATTGTCTGAATTCACAAGACACATTCAATACTCAAGGTCAGAGGTGTCTCTGCTGAAAAGCTCTCAGGTGACACTAAGTGGCTGCATCACCTGAGTTCAGATGTGGCCAGTTCTGGATGGCTGCACCAGGCAGAGGCAAACTCATGTCAGCACTGGCTTTTCGTTCAGTGTCTAATCTTGACCCTCAACTATTTCTGTACGACCCATACCAATGGGCGCTCCCATGACCAACGCTTCCCGACACGCACCAAGCCCTGGCATGAGTCACAGCAGGGAGGTGAGTGACACCTCAGCCACTTGCAGGTAACATTTCTATTGGATTTTAGGGACTGAATGGTAAATTCAACACAGAGTGGGAAAAGGGAAGGAAGAGTGGAAGCGTATACGCAGATGAGACCAATTATGAATAAAAAGGAAATGTTACACATCGTAAGGAGAAACCCTGCTCTTAGAAAGTAAAGTTGAGGAAAGCAAAGCAGAGAAATGCAGAAATTTAACTCTGGCACGGGCAGGGGGTCTCTTGGACCTGGGCTCAGCTGTGCAGCCGGGTGGAAGGGATTCAGCTAGAAAACCTTCATTCCTCCAGGAGTGGTCCCCAAGGGACTGGGACAAAAGGGACAGTCAAGTAGAAGACAGCATGGTCTTCACAGGGTCTTTTTCACTTTTTATGTAATTTATGGAAATTTTTAAGCAAATAAAAGGGAACATAATGAGCCTCTGTAGGACTAACTTTAACAGTCACCCACTTGGTCATCTTGCTTCAGGGCCCTATCATTATTTGAAACAATTTCCTATGACTCCATCCATCACTGCTGTAGGTTTAAATGACAGCCACCCATCTCAAAGGCTGCACTGGCTTTTCAGAGACTAGCTGTGCAGAGCCTGTCTGCGGTCATCTAGTGGTGAGGTCTTTTCAGTTGTGTGGCCTCATGTCAAGATGAGAGGGCTTTCTAAATGACCCCTTTGCACTCCAGCAGTGGCTACTGTGAGCAGGTGGAGCCTGGAGGGGGCAACAGAGCTGCACTTGGAGACTCACACAGAGCCTGGACGGAAACCCAAGGGACCAAAGCCTTGGTCCCAGCAGCCACTCATCATGGTGAATGTTTGCAAGCCTCATGGGTGACATGGGCCATAAGGAGGTCCAGGCAAGGGCCAGAGGGACCATGGGACACGCACAGTCTAGGAAGCCTACCTGGGTATCCTGGGGTCGTGCCAGGTGCTCACGCCCGTCTGTGTGTGCAAAAAGTAAACTTGCCCCTGGACTGTGGTTCTTTGTTCTGCACACAAATGTGGAGGTATGATTAGTTCAACCTGAGCAAGAGTCTTCAACCAATCGCTGGCTGTTTTTGCCAAGATTCTCAGTTTCCTGTCAATATTCTCTCGAAGCTCAGAAAGGAGGATGTGTAATGGCAGTGACTGGCTCTGCCCAGCACCACCCCGGCCTCTGTCAGCAGCTGGGCTCATCGGGCTTTCCCCTGCACACCTGGAGAGGCGTGCTCTCCTCCCAGCTGGCTGCGTCCCCCGGTGAGACGGCCCAGGTGTGTCCACTCTCAGGCCTGCCCCTCCGTGACCTCTAGGGTCCCCCGCCACAGCTAACTTAACCCTTCTTCACTCCGGTGCTCTTCTCCGTGAGCGTCAAATGACCACTCTTCCCCCAGGCTGTCCTTCCCACATCAGATCACAGAGCACTACAAATCATTCATGTAGCCCAGGGGTCATGTGGGTTTTCTTTGGTACTAAATTATCTAAAATTTTCACACAATTTCTGAACCAGAAGATTGGTGAAATTGCTGACAATTCATGATCAGCAAGATTTTGTCGCCATCTTTCTCTGGTTTCTTGCCTTGACAGGACCTAACCACACACCCCTCAGCAGGAGGCACAGAGTGCCTGGCAGCCCTGCTGCGGACCCGCTGGCCAGCCGAGAGTGGGCGTTCTCACCATAGCCCTCCGGCAGCTCGGGTGACTGGTGGCCGTGTGGGCGGTTCTGTGGCGTCTGCAGGGGCCCTCGGACCTCAGGATTCCGAAGTCGCTGCACCTGAAGCCTCTGATCGTGACTTGGGGACTCTGCAAACCTGCAGTTGCCTCCCCCGGCGGCAGCCCCCGTGCTGTCCGTGTAGGGGGCTGGCTCTTCCATGAAGCAGCTGAGCGGCCGCCCGGGCCCAGAGTCCTCATACACGGTTCTAGAAGGAAGACGAGCACAACTTGGACGGGGCTCCAGTCTGAAGAGTCACCACATGAGTATCTTAAAATCCCACGTGATGCCGTCACACCCACTTAGGCTTCCCTTACAGATTCAGAGCACCCCATGCCCAGCTGCCTAACACTTGCCACGTCCCATTAAGATACAAAAGGACCCAAGAACAAGTGACTACGGGAGCCACATCTCCAGTGTCACCAAGGCCCCTGCAGCTGTTCTTCCCAGGGAAGGGTCAAAGTGCTAAGGAAAACCGTCCTTGCACTTGCATGGGAGGCACTCCTGAAGCAAGGAGTCCTATCCCATGGCTCAAAAATCAGATCTGAATACTCCCTTCTCCTTACTTCTCCATCACAGAATTCCTGGCGGCTCAAATTCAGCTAGGTTTGCAAGCAACACTTTTAGGAACTTTTTAACATCGCTGCTAATCCCTATGAAGAGTTTTTAAATAATTAGCTCTTTTTCTTATTACCAAGGAGTTTTCAGACACTTTGTATATGGAAAAACCACAAAGATAAACAAAACTGCGAGAGCAGGACTGATCCCGTGAGCCACCAGCCAGCTACGACTGTCCAGCTCACGGCCACCTTCCAGGTCCTCCCACCACAGGATTCTTTTGAACCCAATCCCAACGTGTTACCTTTTCATCCTTAAATAGTCTGTGTGGACCTCTCAAACTTAAGAAGCTTTTCATCATCACAACAAAAAGATGTACATTGATTTTTCAATATCATCCAATACCAGTCGTCGTTCAAATTACCCCAAGCTGTGCCACAGGCAGGACCCAGAAGAGGGCCTGACCCTGCACTCGGTAAACAGGCCTCGGACCCTCCTGACCTGCAGATCCTCCTTCCCTGTGTCTTTTCTTTCCTATGAGACACTGGGTTGTCTGTCCCTTGTCTCGTGTTGCCAACCGCATTCCCTGGGGGCTGTGGGACACAACACATCCCTCTGCCCCCTGTATTCCCGGGGCTGTGGGGGGGCTGGTACCAGTGTTGTGCTCTGGCAAGATGGCTTCAGGGAGGGTGTCCCATACTCCCATCAGGAAGGATGTGAATGTCGGGTCATTTCTCGTCATGCTGGCAACTCCTAATGGTTGCTGCTCGATTCTCCTGGGGGCTGGGGGCTGGGGGCTGTGACATTCGGACTTTGTCATTCTACCTTCACTTATTAGCTGGAAGACTGCTATAGACATTTTCTCATCAATTATTTGGAGACTCTAAAATACAGTTCCCACAGGAAAGACATACTGAATGCTTTTTCCTTTTTTTGTAGACACAGTTTTCAGATTAACAAGCTTTCTCGTATACCCCCTTAAAGTGACCACTGAGTGGTTTTGAGGGTTGACTTGTGTTTTTGGTTTTCCCCTCCCACGTCTCACTCTGAACTCACAGCTTTTAAACACATTTGATGTGTTTCCATTGTAGTTACAGTTTGTACTGGTGCTCAAATGGCTCCATCTCTTCCGATCAGACCCTGAGACACTGGCATAGCCCCCGGAGTCTCAGGCTTCCTTTATGAACAAGCAGAGAGGCCAGCTTTACCGCAAATAAAGAGCCTGAAAGCATCGTGCACATTCGGTGAAGTGAGGGGTGAGGGGCGCTTTGAGGCACTCAGTGAGGACTCCGCCCACACCACCTATTACACGTACCCTTCATTTTCCAGCAGTCCCCTGCAGTCCACCACGGACCCGCCTGTGCCGATTCTGTCTCGTGTCTGTAAACTGACTGAAACAGAAGAGAATGCCTTACGTTACAACTCAGTGATGCGTACGGTCATAACACAGTGCACCAGTGCACACGTGTAATTCATGTACAGTATCACCGAAAGCAACAAGGCAGCTGTGTACACACTCACACACACATCTACTCCTGTATCTGCAAGCATGAGACATTTCTCTCCAACAGCTGCGTACCACCATGGACCACTTGGAACATTCCTCGTAAAGGGGGAGGGGGGGCGAGACGGACAGATGGAGGTACTATTTCTTGTACTGCCCATAAAAGTAACAGAGCTCAATATTCAGTCCCTCAAGTGGCTTCCTTTTTCAAGATGACCTTGAGCTGTGTTTAATGAGGACAAAGTAAGCACTGGCAGCGTCCGCAGAGTCGACATGGATCTAAATAGATACCCCACCATGAACACAGACACATGCACAGGCCTTTCTGTTACAGTTCCCCCGCACACCCCTCCACAAGGAGTAGAAGGAATCTCAAGCAGGAGAGCCTCTGGTGAGAACGTCTCATTGTGAGCGTTTTCAGGATGTACACCCTCTGTTTATCCTGGGCTAAGTCTACGTAAGACAATACTGCTAAGATCTGTTGTCCTAAAGGAGCTGGGGGTGCTGGGTAGAGACAGACTGTCTCCTTGGTTCCTTGCAATGCCCAGGGTAAACACTCGAGTTACTCTAAGATGCTAATAAAAATGGGGTGGATAACAACATGAGCCACTTAAGAGATACATCACTCCCAGTGAAAACCTTACTTGACACCTGGCAACCACAGCACATTTTTCTTTTTTCTAAACAATGCAGTCTTCTCATCCTGTCGTCCACTTTTGTGGACTTCTTCAAGTATTGTCTCTCTTTCTATACATTCAACAGGTCTTCCTGCAGAAACTCGTTCCCGGTTGTACATGTGGCCACCATTCTTAGCACTGACACTTGAGGACACAACGACCCATTAATTGTCTGTTCATGTGATGAGTAAAATTGCATCTACCACTATCACCCTAAGTCTGTCAGCACCTTAAATGTTTCAGCTCAACTTTAAATGACAGGATGAGGGGGATTAGATAAAGTAACAAAAACCACACAAGATGAAACCTGTCAGTACTGAGGAGATGGCCCCTGTGTGTGGCTTGTCCTTCAGAGTGTGTCCCCCTCATCATTTCCTGCCTACATGTGTTTTCTCAGTGATGAAGAGTTGAATGTTATGTTCTGTAAAAGCATCTCTTTATACAGATGAGAAAGTTCTTACCCACTATTTGGCCACGAACTGCATCAGTATCTGAGGGATTTAGTTTGCATAGATCCAAACGCTGGTCTGCAAACAAACAATTCAAAACTTAACCCAGGGAAATGTGAACTAGGGAAGAAAGGCAGGAATTCTGTATTCAGCATTCAGAAAAGAAAGGGTCCCTCCTGAGCCGCCTCCAGCTAGGTCAAGAGGCAGGCCAGGCTCGGCTCTTACACCCAGTGTCTTTCAGTCGGCTGATGGCATTGGACAGCAGCCGGACGCAGCCCAGGAAGCCGGCTCCCTGTTTCTTGTGGATCTTCTTGTGGTTCCAGACACTGATGGTTACAGAATCTGTTTTCCCAACAAATCTGAAAAAGAACATACCGGCTCATTCTTCGTTTTAGTTCTGAGCTATGAAATCTGACTGAGATCTTAGCTGACTGACATTTAGCACACAGGAATCCTTTGAAAATAACGCTGGCTCTGTGCTCTGTTTGTAACAGACACCCTGTAAGAACACATCTCCTACCGTCAGAGGGCTGGGACAAAGGGCCACCATTAGCTACATAAGGAACAAATGCAAATAACCAGAATAATGCTCTCATACAGAGGGTTGCCATCATTAATCATTCCATAAGACAGTGACATGATTCATCAACTTCCACCAGTCAGACTAACTACATACCACTACACTGCTTATAAACCCATCCATCAACCCAAGTACACAAAAGGACCTTAGGACATTAAACTTTCCATGTAAGACCACCACAGGGGGGCGCTTTAGCACAAGAATTGACATCCCCTTTCCCAGTCACTCCTCCTAGGTCAGTGTAACTGAAACTCATCGGTAGGATCCAACAGAGTAAAGCTTCGGCCCACAGTACAATGTGTATTCATAACAACACAATCACTCAGCATTATTTAACCAAAATTTTGTAAGAGGGGCATGAAAACATGGGTACATATCAAATAGTGATTATTTTTTAAAAAACTTTTAAAAGGGTAATCGACTTTATGAATGAACGGGCTTCTATACATTCAATTATGCAAAACTCTATTTTCTCCTGCAGAAAATATGTTTGTTCTGAAAAGAATTGTTTTTCTTTCTCATTCAACAGAAATAACATAGTCAAGAAGGTGCACTCTCTTGGGTAAAAACTACAACTGAGTTTAGGGTTTCAGTGGAAAACAGGAGCATCAAGAACATGAACTAGGGCCGCCTTTCCTGCTACAAAAGCCAGGAGATCAAAACGGCTGAGAACCAAACAAAACAAAAGGAGGAAAGAAACATGAAAACATGAAATGCAAGAACGTCCAAGCGCATGAATTCTAAAATGAGGCAATATGTATTCATTAAGCCACCCACTTTTGTTCAGTCATTTAAAAGTCAGTAATTCTGTTTCTTAAATGCTTCTCTTCAAAGCTAAATGCCTACTTTCTTGCTGCTCCCCACAGGCTTCCAGAGTGTTCAACTCACAGATCATAGTGCTGGTTCCACTTTGGGTCCAACGTGTTTTTCACAGTGTCGGTGGAATGGCACTGCCCAGACCCGTCAACGACAATCTTTGCAAAGGGGTCGGGGAGTCCTAGAGGAGAGGGGATGGGCACAGCTCAGTGGGTGCAGCACGCGGCAGCCTTCCCGGCCGACGGGGGCTCCAGCACCATCCCATCTGACGAGACAGACTACATTTGTGCATTTGATTCTCTGGTTTTGATCAGCCAAAGTATTAGTTTTATTTCGTTTTCTAAGAAAGGCAGTTCAGTATGACATCACCCCAAGGCTTTTTAGATGGTAAGGAAAGAGAACAAAGCTATAAAAATAAGCTTGAATTCAAATTCCCATTTCTGATAACCACTAAGTAGACTTAATTCAATGCAGGAAAGGGTGTCCGTAATCAATCATATTTGATCATTTCTAGGTCTGCTCAGCTGATTAACAATGGCTTGAAGATGTACTTCCAAAAACCAGTGAGGAAAACTATGGAGCAGAACTGTCCGACCACCACCAAAGCCATGGACGACACAGGGCTGGGCAGCGTGCTGATCTGTGTGTATGGGGTCACGAGTTGGGGACTGACTGGATGGCAGTGAAGAACAACACTTCAAAGGGGGGGAAGAAAAAACAGAGATCTTGCTTACAGATCTCTGTCTGTCTGATTTATGGAAGCAAGTATTCGCCAAACCTTAGTGTGATGAGTTCCTCGATACGGGTATATGAGACAGGTTTACTAGATCAGAGAGGTGGAATGGATCCAGGAAGGCTTTGGAGGCAGACTTGCCTGGCTAAATAAAGCCCTTGAGCCTACGTTTCACTGGGTAGAGAATGTGGCTCACAGCAGCGAGGCACGGAGCAGCGTTCCTGTGAGGAGCAGGAACTGTGGGGAGTCTGGTACAGGCCCTTACTAACAAGGAGGTGGACTTCCCTCCTTTAGAAATGATGTCTCCACTTGTATTTATTTTTGCAATTCCTTTAATTATTGTTGTTGTTATGTGCTATCAAGTGGGCCCTGACTCATAGCGACCCCTCCTTGGGTTTCCGAGGCAGTATCACTATGGAAGTAGATTGCCCCATCATCTTCCTTCCGAGGAGTGGCTGGTGGGTTTGAACCACCAGCCTTCTGGTTAGGACATCTAAAATGTGATTTAACTTAGGAAATTTGATTAACAATTTTACTGAAACCTAGTTATTTTGTAGAAAGAAAAAAAAAAGTCCCATCTGGATTTGAGTTGAGGAGCACTTTCATGCAGCAGAAAGTACATACTGATGACGGAGGGCAGAGGCCATGGTGGGACGGCATGGGGACTGGGGGAGGGCTGAGAACAGGGTGTGCACAGCATGGGGTCCAGGGAATAGTTTTTCTTGTATGATTTGTAAGTTCTGTGCCTCTGAGCTAAGCAGCAACTAGGCTGTTGTCAGCTAGGAAATGACATTCATCAGACCATGAATTTCTGCTCAGTAAGGGCAGGACTTTTACAAGAACACACCCAGTGTTTTTTTTAGAAAAGTTTAAACTTTCAGAAATATGTGACAAATGTTACTACTGGAAGACAGCAAAAAAAAAAAAAAAAGTTTACTTACTGAAGAAGTCTTTCTTTGCAAGATTCTTGGCACATAATACTAAAAAAAACAAACAAAAAATACTAGAGTTAATATTCATGGACAAAATTTCCACCACAACTAGTTTATGTTTACAATGGGAAAAAAAATCTAAAATTATCTTTGCCAATGATTTGTCTTTCAAATTTAGTACTATATTAAACAAAAAACAGGTAAGTTAGTTGCTGACATGCAATTAAAAAGTGTTTTCTCCTCAAATCGGGGATCGATTACAACAAATGTGCAATGCTTCTGTTTGACCTTAGAATCTTCCCCTAACGCTGAAGGACAGGTCTAGTGCCGACTCTCGCACTGCACAAGATCTTATTAAAAACCAACTCACATGAAGACCTGTGTGCTGACCTTTGTAGCTACTGCTAACAGCAACAAACACAAGAGAAACTAAGCATTTCTGACACTCTGATAAGCAATGCAATTTTATAAACAAATGCAGACGTCAGTTATGTTGGAGCCTGGGAAGTTCTACCATGACACAGAGGGGTCACCGTGAGTTGGAATAGGCTCAGTGGCAGTGGTTTGGTGGATGTGAAGTGGTCTCTGACTGGTTTTGATTTGTATTTCTCTGATGGCTAATGACTTTCAAGTATCTTTTCATGTGCTTACTGGCCACTGGTACATCTTCTTTGGAGAAATGTCTATTACACTCTTTGCTCATTCTTTGAACTGACTGTTTCTTCATTGTTGAATTCTTTGTATACTCTGGATGTTTTGTTGTTGTTGCTATGTGCCATCGAGTCGGCCCCGACTCATAGCAACCTCTCCTTGGGTTTCCAAGGCAGTATCACTACGGAAGTAGGATTGCCCAACCTTACAAGTCACTAATCAAATATATAATTTGCAAATATTTTCTCTCATTCTGTAGGTTTGCTTTTGGTGTTGTAACTAAGAATCCAGTTCCTAATCCAAAGTCACGGGTATTTACATCTATGATTTCTCCTAAGAGTTTTATAGTTCTAGCACTTACATATACATCTATGATCCATTTCAAGTTAATTTTTGCAAAGAGTGTGAGGTAGGGGTCCGGCTTCATTCTTTTGCATGTGGATATCTAATTTTCCCAGCACTATTTGTTGGAAAGACTGTTCTCTCCCCAACGGAATTACCCTAGCAACATAGTCAAAAATCAGTGACAATTAATGTGCGAATTCGTTTCTGGACTGGAATTCCTGGGTGGTGCAAATAGCTAAACACCAACTACTAACCCAAAGGGTACTGGTTCAAATCTACCCAGAGACACCTCCCAAGAAAGACGTGGCAATCTGCTTCCAAAGGACCATAGCCACTGGCAGCTCTACAAAGCACAGTTCTACTCTGAAACATGAGAGCTCCGTGAATTGGAATCAACTCGATGGCAACTGTTTCTTTTCTTTTAACTTTCTGGGCTCCAGTACTTAAATATTTCATCTATTTATGTGTACATCCTTGTGCCATTACCACTTTGTCTTGATGACTGTAGGTCTGTAGTAAATTTTAAAACTGAGAATTCTGAGTCTCCAACTTTCTTCTTTTTTCAAGGCTATTTTGGCTATGCTGGACCTCTTCCATTTTCATATGAAGTTTTAAGATCAGCTTACCTATTTTGCAAAAACATCTGCTGGGATTCTGATAGGTATTGTGCTTCATCTGTAGATCAGTTAGGGGAATACTGCCATACTAACCATATTGAATCTTCTAATCAATGAACTTGAGCTACCTCTCCATTTACACCCTCACCCCACTTACTGACAAGTTAAGGTCCCAAGGAACAAGTTTTTATGGGAAATTGGCAGTACATGAAAAGGGAGGACAATCACATCAGGTCACAAACTGGAGGGTGACTACACTATTACATAACTGCCAGATTACATCACTGGGTAACTGCTGAACCGCTAAGAATCATGGCACCACCAAGCTGACATGTAACCTGAACCAGCACAGCCAGTGTTCGTCTCACCCTGCACCTCAGTATTCTTAACTGCCAGGCGTATGTCATTAATGTGCAAAACAAGATAGTAGATTTTTTACTCTTGTCATCAACACAAAGTGTCAGATGATGAGATTGTCCAGAAGTGAGGAGAAGGTGTATTCAGGTCTTTTCTATCTTTCAACAAGTTAGCAGTTTTCAGTGTACAAGGTGCACTTCTTTTGCTAATTTATTCCTAAGTATTTTAATGTTTATAATGTTACAAAATATGTTATAATGTTAAGTATTATAATGTTTATTTGGGGCGAGATTAAAATGTTCCACAAGTGACAGCTTGTACAGTTCTGTTAATACAGTAAAAATCACTTAGTTGTATAGTTAAATGGATGGACTGTATGGTATGTGAATTTTATCTAAATAAAGGTGTTACAGAAAAAGTAAAAAAGAACCCTAGTGAGTTGATGAAACCAATCTTAGCATTTGGTGCTATGTTTCATTATCTCAATAGGAAAGAGGTTCTACTCTTCCAAAACCAAAAGTTACTATTAAGTGTCTGGTGATTTACTTGGAAACATGAACTCCTTCAAATTAGTCTGAAACAAAGTTTGGTATAGTGAGTGCCAAAACATTAACCTAGAAGCAGAGGTGGAGAGTAACTCTTCTGTTTATAAATATATATATATATATATATATATATATATATTATTAAATGGAATACTAAGTGCCTTTCAGACTGACAAATGAATAACCTGCCCATTACACAAACATCTAAAGTCTTCAGCAATGATTTCAAAAGTATGGCAATGGTCTCTCCACTGAAATCCCTATTTTCTGTCTTGATTTAAATCCAGATTATTCTAAAACAGTATCAAAATACTTTTGATAATTTTTCAAGGGTCTCCACTGCCTACAGGATCAAGCTCAAAATACTTTCTTTGAAGTTTAAAGCAATTTTAAAAAATGTAACTTCTTGTGATCTACTTTTCCATCTTTACTATGCAAATATGGTTTACTTAACTCAGACCACAATGCAGTCATGTTTACCTCTGGGCTTTTCTTCATGCTGTACGTTGTCCCCTTTCTATAACATCCAAACAACATTTCCTGAGCTGGTGGGCACAGCACATGGTAGACGGTCAACCAATCTTTGCTGAAGAGCTCTGCTTCCTACTGTATGCTAGACTCTGCCTCAAGTATTTTCCCTTCATTCTCTCTCACATTCCTTCCACAAAGCCTATGAAGAAACTAAGGATTCAAAAGGTTATTATTTGCCTAAGGCTATACATTTGAACCACAACCCAGTGATGGAAATCTCATTCAGTCTGGGTGGGAGGTCAAAGCCTCTCTCTTGCCCTGATCTCAAGGGTCAATACTGATTTCTCCTTTCTCTAAACTTCTGTAACAACTTCCTGCCTTTGACACATAAGCTTATACTGTTGTTGTTGTTGTTGTTACTTGCCATCGAGTCGGCCCCGACTCCTATACTACCTTGCATTATTTTTCAATTTTCATATTTTTGTGACTGACAAAATTGGGCATAAATATGCCAAACTTATTTTGAATAGCCATACTGCTTTCCTTAGGAAGTGACATCATCTAACTTATTTTAATCAACTTTAATGAGATTCTTATTATTCACTCAAAAGACAACGAATAGGTGGCCTTCCTATGCAGCAGCGGCCATTAGTTAAGGCAGATAGGGAACTCCCAAGTGCACCAGGAGCTGTGGAGGGAAAAGCATGTTCACGTGCCACACGAACAGTCCTCGGAACTCCCAAGCCTCCCCCACCCCAACCTAGCCCAATAAAACATGTAGCCTGGGAAACAAAGTTAGGCCAGATTACTTCATGTATCATAGTTTTGTTTACTGAAGTGGATGCAAGTTTCTAAGGGTATAACCCACAGCAAACCTACCCATCATGGTGCCAACTATCTCAAGCTTACATGTAGCCCCCAGTCTGTTGCAGAAGCCTGAGCTGGACACTGCTGGTTGGTGAGAATTCCATGCACAAATTCTTCATTGGTCCAAATCATGAAGAAATTATGGGATCCCCAAGCCAATCCATAAATACAGGGAGATACATGGCATGGTATCTCCTGGCTACAAACGTGGTAGCCTCGGAAGAGACCATGTTCTACAGCACTACTGGCAATTCTCGAATGGTGTTGCTTGGAAAAGGTACAATACTCTCCAAATCCACAGTCACCACAAGTTTAAGCAACTTTGTAAAATCCAAACGCACTAAGCATTATATGACAATCATTTTAACTTAAAGTGGATCTATGAAAATAAGAGATGCTTGCATATTATTCCATGAATTGTCAAATTTATGACAATTAAAATGCAACAGCAGTGCCAAGACAATTCAATGAGAAACAATAGTCTTTTCAACAAATGGTACTGGGACAGCTGGATATCTACATGCAAAGGAACAAAGCTGGATGCCTACCACCTCACACCCATACACAAAAATCAGAAGCAACTGTAGGTGTAAATCTTGATGACTTGGAACTAGGCAATGGTTTCTTAGATATATCACTAAAAACACAAGCAGTAAGAGGGGAGGGTTAGGGTTAGGAATTGGATGAACTCCATCAAAATTAACAACTTCTGTGCTTGAAAAGATTCTATCAAGAAAATAAAAAAGCAATCTACAGAATGGGAGAAAATATATGCAAATCATGCATCTGATAAGAGATGTATACCCAGGATATATAAAGAGCACTTCAAAACAAGAAAAAGACAAATAACCTAATTTTTGAACAGGCAAAGGATATGAGTACACTTCTCCAAATGGCTAATAAAAATCATTATGATGCTCGACATCATTAGCCATCGGGAAGATGCAAATCAAAACAATGAGGTATACTTCACACCCGCTAGGATGGCTCTAACGAAAACGATGGACAAATGCTATTGTGAGTATGCCCAAAAGACAGAAACAACCTGAACAACCCTCAAAAGATGACTGCATAAGCAAAATGTGGCAGACACGCAAGGGACTACTACTACTCAGCCGCTAGGAGAAACGAAGTCATGATACATGCTCCAACAGGACAGAGCTCGACAGCTTCGCTAAGTGTAACAAGTCGCCAA